AATTAATGTACATGAAAACATAATTTATATACATATACGTTTTTATATATACATGAATACAAATTTTGAAATTAAAACAAGTATATATATATATATACAAAAATATGTATTAAAATTCTCTCATAAAACTAAGAGACGTTTAATGTATCATTTTCCAAAGAAAAGTGGTGCATTAAATACACATGGATTAATGGAGGGCAAAAACGTTACAAAAAAGTCAGTAAATTCAAATAATGTACTTAGATATAAATAAGTATCAAAATTAAGGACTTAATTACCCAATATTTTTTTGTTATATATTTTTGAAAAATTTGGAGGTCGGTCCCCCTATATGGATTTATTTGGACTTAAGTCCGTCAAAAAAACTTATTTGTTATGAAGTCCGTTTTTTGTTAATTTTACCATACTATCTATTCTCTTTAAAAGTGAAATAAAACTAAAAATTAAAAACTCCTAAATCTTAGGAGTTTGACTAACATTAAAATTTGTTCTCTCTCATATCTATCTATATGCATATATAGGTTAAAAGTTTAACTAACATTAAAATTTTATCTCTCTCTTATCTATCTATATATAAGTTATATATATATATGTGTGTGTGTGTNATATCTATCTATATGCATATATAGGTTAAAAGTTTAACTAACATTAAAATTTTATCTCTCTCTTATCTATCTATATATAAGTTATATATATATATGTGTGTGTGTGTGTGCATATATATATAGTAACATTAAAAATAAAAAATAGTAACATTAAAATAAAATAAAAATTTATCATTTGGACACAAAAAATAATACATTTAAACACAAAAAAAATTGAAACATTCAATATTAATATTTTTAAAAAATAACAACAGTAACATGTTCAACAAAAATATTAACATACTTAACAAAAACTGTAACATACTTAACAATAATTATTTCTCTTGAATTCAAACGCAAAAAATAGTACCATTCAAATACAAAAAATAGTAATATTAAAAAAAAAAAATAGTAACATTAGATATTAATATTTAGGAAAATAATAGTAGTAATATGCTCAAAAATAATAGTACATGAACAGTAACATACTTAACAAAAGCAGTAACATGAACAATAATATAATAACAAAAATAGTAAAATGAATTTGAATTTTACTATTTAAATTCATAGTAACTTTTTTTTGTTTTTGAATATTACTATTTTTTTTATNAAAATGAATTTGAATTTTACTATTTAAATTCATAGTAACTTTTTTTTGTTTTTGAATATTACTATTTTTTTTAATGTTTTAGTATATATATATATAGATAGATAGGAGAGAGGGAAATTTTTAATGTTAGTCAAACTCTTAACTTATATATAGATATAGATAGATATGANTAGAATCACATAAGATTTCGTTTGTTTAGCGAAAGCATGGTAGGAAATAGAAGAAATTTTTTTTTTTCAAATTTTTATGCATTTAGTTAGGATGAAAAACAAAATGATAAGAAAAATAATTTTTTTTATGCTTAAATTTTCCCATAAATAACCAACTTTTTTTCTTGTTAAAAACACAAGGAAATGCAAGAAAATTGTGATCTATAACTAACTTTCTATTTTATTCTTATTTTTCTTAAAAAATTTTATTGGTTATTAATTTTAAAAAATTTTGGTATGAATTTGATTAATCATATAATTTAATCCAAAGACCTTTGTGTTGGTAATTGTCCTACAATTAGGTTTCGAACCATTTTTTAAAATTTTTTTAACTTTCAATTATAATTACATATTTTTTTTTTCTTTTTTAGACCAATTAAATATAATTAATGGTAATTTAGACAATATAAAAAATCGCTCATAACTTTCGTTTCTTTCAAACAATACAATGAAATTTTTTTAAAAATTTTTCGTAAATTTTTCATTNCTTTTTTAGACCAATTTAGTATAATTAATGGTAATTTAGACAATATAAAAAATTGCTCATAACTTTCGTTTCTTTCAAACAATACAATGAAATTTTTTTTAAATTTTTTCGTAAATTTTTCATTTTAATCAAATATATACATGAAAATATATTTTATATCATTTTTCTTTTCACATCATTTCTATCATTTTCACTTTTCATCATTTTTTTTCCTAACCAAGCATACCCTAAAGGTTGAAAGTCTGTAAATGTGAGATGATATTCAGGGGCAACTCAAGAGAGTTTTGATACTTAAAAGCGATAATTATAAGTGAGGTGTTTTATTTTTAATATTAATAAATTCTCTCAAAAAATTAAAATATTCTTGTCGAGCTCACTTGTCAAAGTCCTTTGTGACGCATCCATACAAGGAGAGAATTTTCAATAGCTTGACCCTTCCATCTGAGTTGCAAGTGGCTCCTATAAAGTTACCTATCGTTTTACTCATACACGAAATTGATTATAAAAACTTCATGGAACATAAAATTGAATACAGAACTTATTACAAAATATCAGACAGTCTTATAATTGTGATGCTCCATTCGATTAATTAGGTTGCTTTCATCTACCATGTTGACTCAAAATTCATCAAGTTTGTTTTCATAATATCTTGCAAAGAAAAGAACACATTAGTCTCATTGTGTAGCCAAAATAAAAGCTCTAACATGCAGATTGACAAACTTCTGTACATAGATTTTGATTAATTTATTGTTTAAGATATAGAGAGAAGAGAGAATCTTCTAGGAGTCATGCCCTTTTGTCTTTCTAGTTTCTCTTGGTGATAATTTGTTGGGATAAAAGAGGGTGGGGGATTTTATAATAAATACAACTAACAGTGCTATCAAAAGGAGTATTGTAACAAGCCTAGATTCAGACTAGGTCTAGTCCAGTTTATGGGTTAAGTTCAAATTATTAAAAGGCATTTCAGAATTAGCTCCTGGCCTTTAGGTTTAGCTTCAGTCCAATCCAAAGCTCAAAAATTCAAGAAAAATCAACGCACATGAGAGAGCAATCATCGGAATAAACATTACTCCAAGATTGTGTCTATCCCCAATAATAACTATCTTCCCCGATAAATTAGTAGCTTGATCTTTACATCACCGTCACAACTAGGGTTCTGTGCCTATAAATTGTAAACCCTTTTACACGTGGGTGCAGATCTTACAGATTACACCTTGAGCATACCCTTGCACTCTTTCTCTAGCTACTACCTTGTACTCTCTCATTAATAGAGTTTTTCAGCCATCATTGTCGCCTTCAGTGGTTAGGACACTCAAACTCAACCACTCAATTTTTGTCTCTTATTATTAATTGCTTTACATGATACACTCAACTAATTTAATTGTGCATAGTTAACTTTGTGCATCACCATATTGTATTATCTTTATAGGTTTTTGTAAGTGTAATAATGAAAATTAAAAAGAAATTCTACTTTTTAACTAGTATAGATTTATGTAGGAATGTCATTTCTGTATCAAACGAAATGGGCCCATATTAGGTCTGACTGCTTTACTGGATATGATGGGCTCAACTGTTCAAGCTTACAACATGGTTTGTTAGGTCGTGTCCTTTTTTCATAGGAGTTCTTAACCATCCCAAACAACACAAACTTTATTTCTGGATAAAGGTATTTTCCAACTTATTTTTTCAAATTTAGACACTTTTAAAAAATGGTATTTAGAATAACTTTTTAAGTTAGAAGTCCTCATTCTGAATGACATGTTTAAGAGAAGATGAAGCAGAGGTGATTGAGTAACCCAGAGGTAAGGACTCACTTTCGTTTACAGGTGATTGCGGGTTCCAACATTATCTCTTAAAAAAAAAAAAAAAGAGAAGAGACTAGTGTTCAACAATTACAATGATACTTCTGCTTCAAAAGTGTTTGAACAGAGTTTTTGGGCTTCATTGGTATGGTGAAAAACACTTCTTCTTTTTTTTTTTTTT